TGGGCAACTTGGCGAGATCTCATCTCTACAATAAATAAAAAAAATCAGCTGGGCGTGGTAGCGCATTCCTGTAATTCTGGCTACTCGGAAGGCTGAGGCGGAAGGATCATCGGAGCCCAGAGATCGAGGCTGCAGTGGCCGGGAGCGGCCATTGCACTCCAGTCTGGGTGACAGAGTGAGACTCCAACTCAAAAAAAAAAAGAAGAAGGTAGAACAATATTTTCTACAGAAACCACAAACCTGCCACATGTTTTGGAATCAAATTCAGGTCTTCAAGGCTCGTCAGGACCTTTTGTACAAGCTGACATGTCTTCCTTCCAAGCGCTCCAGCAGCAGTGTTCCTGTTCTCTTTCCCAAGATTTTTCCTCCATCACAGGCCCCTTGGGACTTGCAAATCCCTCTTTGTCCTTTAAACTCCATCCAGCATAAGCACAGTGTGTTCAGAGGGCTGCCTTCCCTTCTGCTGTCTCCCTTGGGCTTTGTGTCCCTGACTGTTTCTCACCTTTTCTAGTTCAGTTCCTTGTATTGAGTGTGTCACATATTTAAAGTCAGTTATTTCTTTTTCTGTGAATGTTTCCTTCTTCACAGCACTCTCACCCTTGTCATATGGATGCAGTTTCTTACTGTTCCCTGGGAGCATGAGTTACAATTCTCTGGAAAGACTTTTTCCCTATGCCATTTCCTCAGAACCTTTGCATTTGATTTGGGATCTGTCTTTCATGTGGCAGGCTGTCCTAGCCTGTCCCTTTGCATTGGCTACACTGTACTGAAAGTGTTCATGGCCACTGTGTGTGAGACCAGGTCTTTTGGACTGGTAGGCTCAGTAGCTGTGAGCAAGCAGGTAGCTTCCCCCCAGAGAACAACTCAGCCTCCTGCCAGGACAGTGGGAAGTGCCTGGCCTATCCCCAGTCAATATGCAGACTGACTCCTGAACCCTGTGGCCCCCGGTCTCAACTGTTCCAACTGCCCCTAAGTGCAGAGCAACTCAGTTCTCCTCCCCACATGGGCAGCTCAGGGCAGAGGTGGGGGCTCCCTGAGTTCTTGCCCCTCCTGCAGGCAGCTTATCTCAGCTTTCTCTGGTCCCCTGAGCAGAGGTTACTATTTGCCCATCCACTCCTTTGCTTCCACTATCCTCTCCACTCCCTTTATCTTTGTCCTTTTGGTTTTATCTATGTAATTCCTTTTCTGTTAGTTTCCTGGCATTTTCAGATGGAGCCCAGATGAGCACACGTTCATTTTGCTATGTTTAGTGTCCACATAGGGGTTTTAACAAATGCATACTAGCCTCTCAGTTCACAAAGCAGCCAGATCTTCATCTGTGCAAGAATACCACTTTGAAAGCATTCTTCCAGACTCAGAAAACCAGCTATATACAATCTTTTCTTTGTTGTTTTTTCTTTGTAGTAAAACTCTTCTCTCCATAATTATTAACTTTTTTTTTTTTTTTGAGTTGGAATCTCACTCTGTCACTCAGACTAGAGTGCAATGGCACGCTCCCGGCCACCACAGCCTCGACCTGCTGGTCTCCAGCGATCCTTCCACCTCAGCCTTCCAAGTAGCTGGAACTACAGGCAGGCGCTACCACGCCCGGCTAATTTTTTTTATTTATTGTAGAGATGCGGTCTCGCCAAGTTGCCCAGGCAGGTCTCGAACCCGCGGGCTCAGGCAATTCACTCACCTTGGCCTCCCAAAGAGCAGGATTACAGGCTGAGCCACCGAGCCCAGCCTTTTTTTTTTGAGTTGAAGTCTCACTGTCGCCCAGGCTAGAGTACAGTGGCACATTCATGGCCACTGTAGCCTCGATCTGCTGGGCTCAGGTGATCCTTCCACCTCAGCCTTCCAAGTAGCTGGAACCACAGACACGCACCACCATGCCCGACTAAGTTTTTTACTTACTGTAGAGATGAGGTATCATCAAATGACCCAGGCTGGTCTCGAACCTGTGGGCTCAGGCAATCCTCTCACCTTGGCCTCCCAAAGTGCAAGGATTGTGGTGAGTTTCTACAGCCTTCCCCACCCTCCCAAAAGAAAATGTGTTTTATGGCTAAAAATCTCATTAAAAATTTCATATTGGCTGGGCTCGGTGGCTCAGCCTGTAATCCCAGCACTTTGGAAGGCCGAGGTGAGTGGAT